TGTGTACATAACATAACCAAACTTTTCTAACTAAAATTGCACAACGAAAGCTTTAATCATAATAAAGTAAATACAACAAACTTAGATTTCGTCCTTATCTGCGTAAGTAAATGTACAATTATTGTACACTTTGACGGTAACAGCTCCATCATGTGTATTGACTTTGATACCAGGTAAATTGTGGGTTATGATGTTGTGTTCGGCACTATTTATATTTCCTTCAACTATAGCACTGGGAACGGCACTTTCTACATGTGTTGATGTACATCCTTGTGCAAGAATCCCATGTAATGATGAGGATGATTTACTTGCTTGGGCAAGAGTTCCTGCAACTTCCACTTTTCGTTGAACCTACGTTTCAATATATCCTTCGGCAACCGCGGAGGACTTCCACCCGCCATGTCGTTTAATGGTGACCAAGTCACTACCGCTGTTAGCTAAATGTGAGACACTTGAACGCCGGAAACAGTGCCCAGTGTATTGTGCCGGATTGGCTAATTGTAGAAACTCTGCAATCTTTCGTGGCGTCTTGCCCATTGTATTGATTCCGATCGAAGTAGTAATGCAGCGACCACTACGGTATGTTACAAAGAATCGTTGATGGCAAGTATTAACTGGGCGTATGCTGCTATATTTTTTTATAATATCAATCCACAATTTCTCGGTGATGACAAACTGTCTCATTACATTTGTTTTTGTTTTAGGCACCGACAACAATATCATTTTTATATTGGATGTCGCCCAGTGCCATATTAGTCAGCTCCTCGCGTCTGCATGCCCCACTGTAGCCCATTATTAAAATAACCTACAACGAGAATACAAACAAGATACTCCTGTAGCTAGTACCTACCTACCCACTAGAACAAAAAATTCTACTTACTTTTGTATCTAAATAATGCTTGTCGTCAGCCTCCTGAATAAATCGATTAATTTGCTCTAAATCTAAAATTTTTGATTTTTTTGGCTCATAGCCTTGCGAAAATCTTTTTAGCAGTGCTTGTAACTTGACGTATCTTGATATATCTACATTTTTATGCACATTTAGGTAGGATCGTAGCATCGAGTACATTGACCATAATGACGATGGCTTTTTCAAATGAGTTTGTAATTCAAAATATGCTAATAAAACATTCTCCGAAATGTGTTGGGCTTTATTTTCTTTACACCACTGGTCAAATTTAAGGGATTCCTTTTCATATTTTAGTTTCGATTTCTGCGGAAGCAAATTATCTACGGTACTGTTTGCTATTTCCCGCAATTCAGGTGGCGTGCAAGTTATGATTTCGTGCTGCTCTTCCATTTCTATTTCACAAAAATTACAGTACCAAATGGCAATTCGCTATATCTGCGCAAAAATTGAAACTTCAAAATTTTCAATTTGAAAAAGCGAACCAGTGCTACCAACTTAACATTTACAACTAATGTGAAGTAGTACAGAATGTTGAACTATTTTTAGTTTTTTACAATAGAAATCACGCGAAATAGAAAAAGTAGTATAAATAACTCGTTTCATAAGCCGTTTTATCGCACTTGTCCTTTGGAAAACTCGCCGCTACGCGGCTCATTTTCCAAACTGGACACGTGCGATAAAACAGCTACTTATGAAACTTGTTCTTTAATATACTATATTTTTTGACCTCGCCTACACTCCCACAAGGTGGAAGCAGCGTTCAGGCATTGAATATCCAACTCCTCTATTCAATGGTTCAGGTCTCCCGCTACAATGCATCGACCGAGAGTGGTATCCCTCAATTCTATTGTTATGCTATCAAGATTTTCTAATATCTGCAGCTCGTTGTTCGCCGGAAAGAGGAAGACCGTGATCCCTTCTATATCTTTACATAATTACGCCCAGTTTCTTTCTGGATGTGCGGGCTTCTATTTCTCACTGCAATTGTGAGGATTTTTTAAGCCAAATTGTCTCATCAAAACAACAGCCCATGAAATGACGGCAATCAACATCGTCCAAACATGCGGTGTAAGAACACAATTTCAATCCAAAAAAACATGTGTACCGTGCTTTGGGACAGGAAAGGTGTATTCGTCAGCGCAATGATGACTTAGGACACCGTCAAAACAATAGCATTGCAGTGGTTGTCAAACTAGCCGGAAAATTCCTATGATGACGGTATAGAAAAGCTTGTTGTTCGATATACCTAATCGGAAATTATGTGGAAAATTCTTTAAAGTGTGGGTTTCCATGTCACAATAAAATCGTTACTGGTTTTTGTAATACCTCAAACCGGTACTAACTTAAAAACACTCGTAATTTATTGCTTCTATATGAGACAACGAAGTTTGCTTAGAGACTAACAAATTATATCCACAACCTCTATTTATATAGAAACTTCACTGGGAAAACTGCCAAACGCATTTTCTAAAAATGATTTTAGACTTTATAGCTTTCGCTACATTTAGTGAGTTATAGGAGTAGTTAATCTATTTGCGGGCCATTTACAATTCGCAGCCCTAGAATTGCATTATGCACACTTCACAAAAATAAGCTGTATATGGCAAACCACTCTGATCTGGAAACTACGATTATTATCGGACGAATCCAAATGCGTCACTGAAGTATCCCTTAATAAAAGAAGTAGTTAAGCAAACTGTAGAACACGTAGGAGAAAACGTGTGTAATTTTGAGTCTTTGAGATAATAGGGTTAATAATCCGTTATTGAAAACAAATGAAATTAATTCCAAGGGCATTAAAAGCAAAATAATAATGGGCGCAGCACGTTCTAAGCGCCTTCTCTCAAACAGTTACCTAAATAAAATAAATAGATAAATCAAACGCAGGAAACTGCTAGCTCGAATCTTTCACGCTGAATTATAAACAAAATGGAGTAGGCCGAGTAGGTAAAAGAAATATTAAATGATTCCCGACTCGTGTTTTCGTGGACATCAAATAAAGTTCTTAACAATTGTTTAATACGCGTACACTTCGTAAACTAATAAACCGATACAACGAAATATCGAAAGATCCAATGAATATCCAACTCGGATATTCAATACCCGAGTTCGATATTCATTGGTATTACATTCAATTTTAACGATAATTTATTTTAATCTTACAAAATACATCAAATTCATGTCTTGATGGGCATTGAGATAATGCTCTTAATATTGTTCCCAATGATCTTGATGCATACGAGTATATAACGATTTTTGACATGTTTTGATCAAAATGCATGTGGGTCGCCAGAAATGCATCAAATTTATGTCTTTAGCATTGAGATAATGCCTCTAGTCTTTCTTTTTCTCAACTACCTTGGTGCATAAATAACGATTTTGACTTATTTTGATGAAAATCCATGTGGCCTCAGAAAAATAATTTAACATCTTTGAATCACACACATGCGGTTATCAAATGTGATATCTCTATACCACAGAGAAGAGTTATATTGAATTATTACACATCTAAGAGTAATAGGGAATAATGTAGCGAAAGTCCGAACTCGATACATGACCTAGGGAATGAAATATTTTGATTTCTATTATATTTAGTCCGCAGTTTTTCCTGTTCCCGATTCGCTCGAAGTCCTATAACGTTTGTTCCTGTTGAATCGGCTTCCTGAAAATCAATAGCGTCCGTCCTTAATGTGCAAAGTATACCCGTACACCAAATTTCAACACAATCGGCCACTTTTAAAAAGAGTTAGAGCGCACACGGACGGACGGGCGGACAATAATGCAAAACTATAAAGGACATATCCTTAATAAAAGTGAATCAAATGAATATAAAGATCAAATCAGCACTTATGTGTAAATCAAAATTATTCTTCATATGATGGAAGAATTGATAGTAGATGTCTTGTTTATCGGTGGTAATCTTAAGATGTAGAAACATGTAGGTAACGACGCGACGTAAAGAGAGTTATAGTCATAGATGATAAGAAGCTTCAAAGATGAAACGGAGGAACGTTTTCAAACACGTGTGACGTGATTTGACTAATACTCGGACTAATAACTTGATCATAATTTGATTAGCACCTTGGTTAAGAACTTGCTAGCGGGGCTCTTCGTAAAGCTGTGCAAAAATAAAAACTTTTTTAAACGATAACAATCACTACCCCATCTTTTAAAGCACAATTCGTAACCTTAAGACTGCTTTCACATTGGCGATTCTTAACCGCGCTTCTGAGTCGCGCCGCTAAAATTGCCAATGTGAAAGCAGTCTAAAAATAGAAAATTATGAACCCAATTCTTAAGGTATTCACTATTTAAAATTAATATTCACTCTAACATTCAAATTCATAAGTCCACATTTCGACAATATGATGAAGATGTCGATTCTTTAAAGTTTTTTGTTAGGTACTATTTAAATGAGAAAAGGTTAATTCCGAAGTTAATTCTGTTTACTCTTAAAGGCATGGTAATGAGTTGAACATACAAATACAAGAAAAATTCATGTAAACTTTAACTGTAATTTAACTAGATATGCTTTTAGTAAAAGCAAAGGTATTGCATATTGTAAACATCAGATTAATGTGCGCATGCCCAGGTTGCGCAATATCAACTGTACTATTTATCGAGATATTGTTTTGAAATTTTAATCACATATGCTTCTGTTAAAGGCAAACATATCGGATATTGTAAACATTATTACGATTTTACGATTAAATTATTATTATTATTATTAGATGTGCGCATGCGCAGTCAGTGCCAACTTCCTTATTTTTAAAGATATATCGTTGAAACTTTAACCATAGATGCTTTAGTAAATAAAAACATATCACATGTAGTAAAAGTCGAAAACTACAAATGTGATTACCAACGGCAAACACGTCGCACATACCTAGTGAAAATCAAATGCGCGCATGCGCAGACTGCAAAATACTTTTTTTACAATATAATTCGTGATAATGTAACGGCGTGCCATCAAAAAAGGACGCCTGTCCGTTCTCGTGTCCATCATTCCGTCGATCACTACCTTGGTGTTAAGAATTCGCATCGATTGCGGGGATTTGCAAGATGATAATTTATGTAGGTACTTTAGTTGCGCAGCTAAAGTTAAGTATGTGAAGTAGAGTAAATCCATATTCCAGTCCCTCAGACGACCTTTTTCATAACTTGGCTGCAAAGAATTTGTGATTTTTGGTAAGCTGTTTGGCGGAAAAAGGTTTTTTACATTCCATATTTACTATCGTGCAAAGTATTGAGGAGAATTGATTTTTATTTGATATTGATCTTATGTTCTTTAAGCGTTAATTCGTGTGCTTTTTTGTCATTATAAACGTTAACTGTGCATATTGAATATATAGGTAAATGTTAACATGTTTCTCTTTCTTTTACAGCTATACAAATAGCATCAAAATCATTATTGGAATCTATAGGAGAAATTTATGAAAGTCAATGGTCTGGACACGATTTACTATTTATGCAAACACAATCTGTAGATATGCTATGGCAAGACTTCAACCACAAATTGGCCGATCAAGTTTTGATACCACTCAATACGTACCAAGGGCAATTTTCAGAAATGAGGGTAATTATACGCTTAAACTACATACTTATTTCAAATCGCATTCACGCATGCTTTCTTTTTTCATATAGGTACCTATGTTGTGATTATAATTTTTCATTTCAGAAAAAAATAGATAAAAGAGGCCGCAAATTAGTTGACTATGATAGCCAAAGGCATAACTTTCAGGCTTTGCAATTAGGCATGACTAAAAAGAGAGACGATGTGAAATTAAATAAAGGCCGCGAACAGTTGGAGGAAGCGAAAAGGACTTACGATATGCTAAATTCGGAATTGCATGATGAATTACCAGCTTTATACGATTCAAGAATACTTTTCCTTGTAACAAACTTACAGTCCTTATTTAGTGCCGAGCAGGTGTTTCATACTGAGAATGCAAAGGTAAAATGCTTACTTCTACTATGTACTTACTTATTAACTTTAAGCCAAATTTTACATATAGTAGTAGGTGTGCTTTCATTTTTTTATCTTACTTAATTGAACAGTAGGTAATTTTTTAAGTATAGCTTGTATTTGATATGCTTCAGTGACAAAGAAGTGATTAAAAGTAAGATAGTATGGTGGAACGTCAAATGTGTGCTTATTGAAGCCTTCGATATGCAAATTGAGCGCTACAGCTTTTGGGTGAACAACAAATCGTGAGTGCAACTAATTACAGCAACTTGCATGTCTACATTCGCACTTGCTTTGTGTAGTTATATACTGGCATTCATAAAGATCAGTATCGATGGTAATGATATGGTGTCAAATAGTAATCGCCCAATTCAAAAATACCTGCATGTGTAAATATAGTTCACCTTCATATATGACAAATTGAGAGCTGTGAACGTTTTATTATCATTGAACGAAAATGTTGAGCAAAAGTTAATTAGTATCAACTTCCAAATTGAACGTTACTTTTGTAATATAAGTATTTTAAAAGCGACGTTAATAGTTATTTTATATATATCGTAGAAACGGATGATGTATCCCATTTTACAGGTAAAGCAGTCGCACTATTTGACGCATCGATAACTCTTTTTCTCAATGTTTTCATTTTAAATGCTTTCATGGCACTGGAACGCGTTCATATATTTTGACATAAGGCATCATTAAGAAATGATTACTAATTTCCAAAGCAAAATTTGTATTAAGATTATGTTGATGCAACATCGCCCTAAAATGAATGGTAAGGTAATTCATATCTACTTCTGTCACCATCTGCTTTCAGTCTCTAAAGCTCTGGGCATGTGATAGTATGCATTGATTTATAGTCAACAACATACCATCTCTATGTTTCTGTCCACCGGATACGTGGTGTAGTTTCAGTTGTAAAGCATCTTCATTTTCAAATTTGTTAAAATACTGCCAGTGGCTCAGTTAAAGTCAGAACTATTAAGGCGGTATCATGCATGTGTTTGGAAGTCAGAAACTGATAGGAGGTGTAGTATTCATCATGCCAAATGTAGGTCAGGAGTTAATGACTCAAAATGCTACATCATGGGCTCATTGCCAGAAAGTTTGTTCGCTTGGGTTTAGACTTGTGAAAGTAGGATTGTCTTGCATAAAGCCAAACCCAAAAAACTGAGAGTTCACTGTGATAGGGGAGGTGGTCTATATTTTTATATTTACCCATTTCTGTTCAATGCAGGGTGGGTTTTTTCAAATGGGGATCTGACCGGCGAAGATAAATTATTGAATTAGATGGGCGCAAGGATTACAGTTTTATGAGAAGATTTTAATATACTCTTTGCTTTTTGGGAAAAATGCACTTCTAACTATAATAGATATTTTTGGCGCATCCTTGTGGATTCCGTCCGCCCAACCGTCCATGTGAGGGCCAAGATCTCGGGTCTGAAAAGTCGTAGAAGGCTTGTTGTCTCGTTCAATAGATATAGATCTCCCATTATAGTGCAGCAAGAAGCAGTGGCGGACTGGCAAATTGAACTGGCTCGGGCAACCGAACAGCACCGGCCACATAACAGGGGGTTGGTTATACCTACCAGAAATTTTTCTCCAAAGTAACCCCCTAAAATAGCATTTTAAAGCATTTGCACTTATTCCAAAATCGATTACAAATGTAGTTTTTTTGGGGGGGGGGCACCTGACACCGTACGACCCCTGACCGCACCGGCGCCGGCCCAGTCCGCCACTGGCAAGAAGTGTGTTTTTCCTTATCATTTCGCGATGATACCCACGTACATTTGCGCAAAACGTTGTTAACCAATTTCTTGGGGAAACGGCAAAACATTGACTTGATGCACAGGAACTAGATGTTGGGGTTTCCTGTAATTGTCCCTTTTTAGCGCATTTCCACAAAAAAAATGCGCTATTGTCCACTTTGTCCGTCCGTCTGTCCGTTCGTCTGGACACTACTATAGTTCTTTATCTTAAGAGCTATTGTTCTACTTTTTTCGCTATTTGGTTCGTTATAGTGTCGAGGCTTGCACCAAGGAAGGAATTTTTTTCTGCGTTTATTGCTAAAAAAGTGATTTTAAAAAAACCAAAAAACCATTTTTTACGTGTCCCATAATTTTACACTTTTGCCTTTTATTAACGATCTTAGAGATCGTTTATAATTTTGTATTGTTGTCTGTCGTCTGTCTGTTGGTCTGTCCGTCTGTTCCTTTGTCTGTCTGTCCATCTATCTGTTCGTATGAACGATAACTTTGCTTAAACCATTTGTCGTCCGGCAGGTACAGGGACATTTTCCAAGAGTTTCACCACTGTCTTTGCTGGTGATGTGCAATTCCTGCGGGTTTTCATCAGTAAATTACACGCGCATAAGATACAGAAAAAACTTGAGGTTGCACCAAGTGCAGTTTTATCTTAAATGGATGGAACTTTTGAAGAGTATGATGCACAGAACGCATTGAAACATCCATGTTCCTACTAATTTCATACTCACTAATATGAGGATTGTCAATAACTCCCTGAGAACTTGAAATTCGTTATCTTCTACCAAAACTGGCTTCCGTTTAACTCTCCTTGAGTTGACATCTTTTGTTTCATCACAGCAGAAGTGAGTTTGGAAGAGACCGTTTTTTTTACAAATTGGCATTTTTACTTATTTTTCTCTGTAATATTTCTTATAGAAAGTGGAGTTTTGTTTGTACCTAGAGAAAGAAAGAAAGGAAGCGAGAGAGAGAGACGCTCGTCTCTCTCTCTCTCTCTCTCTCTCTCTCTCTCGCTTCCTTTCTTTCTTTCTCTCTATCAGTGGACATTTTTGTAGTTCCAGCTATCCAGAGTAATAATTTGTTTAGGGGATTAAGGAATTATGATCCGAGGTGCTACACAGGGTGTGACATATAAATATTATAATAAATAATTAATATAATAAATAATTATAAAAAACTAGGTGGTAGAGGGGATCAAAACAAGCACTTTTTCTAAATAAACTGAGAATCCAACGTATTTCGTTTGGGTGCTACCCTAAAAAAACTGGTGAAATTTGCATTTCATCTTTAATTATTTTCTTAGCAACCAGAAGAGTTACAAAGACTGGTTGCACGTCTTTGAATAGGTTTTGGGGTAGGTATGCCCATTCCGATTTGTCAAGAAAATTTTCTTACCAAGGAAGTACGCATCCCTAAATGGAGGTGCGACAAAAATTCTGATTTTGCCGAAATTTGGTACCTGGGATTTTTGTACAAGAAAATCACGAATCTGAAAATTCGAAAATGGAGAGCATTCCACAAAATTTGTTGTGTACATGCTTGATAAGTTAAGGAACAAAATGAAGAGTTTTTTAAAATCCCTTTTCAAAGAAAAATTATACTCATTTGAAGATTGGTCTTTTGGATCCCTTGCCTAATAGTGAGTGATCCAATTTCGTGTGTAGTTAATTGAAAATGTCTCAAATAACAAAAGAATAACGACTTAAGTTAATATTATGATTAAAAAATTCGATATGTTGATCATGGTATCGAAGTCAAAAATTCGATTCCAAGAAGATGTAGAATGTGCGTGGCTGCGGGTGATGGGAAAATGGTATTTAAGTATCTACAGTTCCATTACAATACAATCAATAAGCATTACTCCAAGTATCATAATATCGACTTAAATTGTTAATTTTTTGCTATTTGCCACATTTTCAATTAACTACATGCAATATTAGATGACTCACTAGTAGGTGGGGGACACTTTTTAACCCAAAGTCTCAATTTTGAAATGAGTATAACTTTTGTTTGAAAAGTGATTTTAAAAACTCGTAGACAATTGAATTGAATTGCAGTGAAATTTTTTTTTTGGATTTTCAAAAACTATTTCAGATTTTCATGTTCAAAAACCCCCAGATACTAATTTCGTCAAAATCAGAATTTTTTGCACCCCCATTTAGGAATGCGCCCTTTGATAGAAACAATTTTGAAAATTTTTTTGCAAAATCGGAAAGGGCGTACCCCAAATCCTATTCAAAAACGTGCCAACAGGCTTTCTAAATCTTATGGTTGCTGAGAAAAAAATTAAAGAAGAAATGCCTGTTTCACCATTTTTTTAGGGGTGGCTTCCAAACGAAACACGTTGGACTCTCGATTTATTTAGAAAAAATACTTGTTTTGATCCCCTCTACCACCCAATTTTTTTTACATACTTATATGTACCTAACACCCTGTATACAGCCTGTTTCAGAGTAGGTAAGCGCCTTATTTTTTTAGCCACACTATGGGTAGGTACTACTTTCAAAATATTTGGCATATGTTTCAGGACACGATGGTTTATAGTATTTGGAATTTTTTTAAATTCATTTCTTTCCTTATCAAAAAGCAAACCAAATTTTAATCTAGTAGCGCATGAATGTTTTACACTCGATATTATTTTTGTCCAAGTATAAAGTAGCAAAAGAAACAATTAAAATGTAATCTATAGTCAATTTAGTTGTATAATGCTCACCAGGAAAGAATGTCAGTAACAGAACACCTGACGCTGCTCTTCAATCGTATGGTTTACTTTTAAAAAAACATACAATTGTAGACCAACATTCTCTCTCAGCGAGAGTATGAAACACTCATGCGCTACTAGATTAAAATGTTTTTTTTGACAAGGTAAGAAATGAATTTTTAAGAAACACTAAATACTATCGTAAAAAGAATGTTTTTAGGATCTTGATAACATAAAAACATAAGAGATTTCCATTTTTTTTAAATATTGAAAATCTGGTATTACCATATCGTATAGTCGAGAATGTCCTTAAACATATTAAGTACTGCTAAATGTTTAAAAAAATGTCTTTTAAGAAAATACACACGTGATTACGTGCAATCTCCCTATGTATCGTTTTAAATGGACGACAAGAGGGAATTTTCCAAAATTTATTACTGAATCATGGTCTGATTGGATGAATTCAGAAAATTTACTGATTGCAATATTTTTCAGTACATTTTCCAATGTTTGGAAGATCTTGTTCTGTTCGTTTGTGCATGTGGAAGAATGTTGGTTGCTGATTGGAAACAATGTCAGCAGTGTTCCTTATGACAAACATTTCTACAAAAATTTAAAAAATCGTTATTGTGGCAATTTTGTCTGTCTGTCACTAGGCCTGTGTCACTACTATATATTTATCTTAAGAGCTATTGTTTTATTTTTCTCGCTATTCGGTTCGTCATGGTGTCGAAGCTTGCTCCAAGGAAGGAATTATTTATGCGTCACTTATGGAAAAAGTTATAGCCATCTTTTTCACTTCGCACAATGTTCAACTTTTGCCGTTTATTGTGCTATACGTTTGTTGCATTTTGATCCTTGATTAGCTAAAACTCAAACATGATACTCAGTTTTAACTATCATTTTGGACTAGAGAGACCCAAAATATTGATTTAAACTTCAATTTGATTGAGGAAATGGATAAATGCTATGCTAGGGAAAAAGAAAAATTGGCTCTGTTCGCAGCCATGATTACTAGTTGGGCTTGAGGTCATTATTTATTATCTGCAAGTGTTAAAAAATGGATCACACATCTGCAGACTCAATTTTCTAGTTTTGATATTTTAAAGGAGGGCTAAAGACGCAAGAAAATGATTAGGTACGTATTCCCAGACTACATTTCTTATCTGTGGCCCAATTGTTACAAATTTGAAATCACTTCTTACTAATTGGAAACACACATCAAAAATGGATTGTATATTTGCAGAGCCAACTTGGTTAGTTTCAGGAGGATTTTTTCACAGAAGTGGCTTTTCAAATAACAGTTTGCCGACATTTTAATTAAATGGCTGAAAATGTTGAGTAAAGGACTAATCCTTCACTCAACGCTGAAAACGAATTTGGCAAGGGTATTTTAATTTTTTCGGAAAAGACTGTTGATGTGGAAATACGCTTTCTGTAAATCATTTTCGGTTACTTTTGTAAGTTGTGGACATTTATTGGACTTCTAATATTATTTTAAAATTTTATGGTTCAAATCATGCCAATACTTCAATAGCCATATAGTAGTTTTGGGGATATACCGAAAGAATGTAGATATTTTTTTAGTTATGAAAAGGAGTGTAGAAAGTATATTGTTTGAAAGGAAGTTGGCGAGACAAGGTCATACGAAGTTTATGATGATTAAAGATTTATCTTGTCTGACTTTATTGGTATTCACAGCACACATTTTAATTAAATCTAAAAACTAATTTAAAGCTTTAAGTTACCCACAAGTTGATGTCTTGCATTTTATTGTGTTTATTCATTAGTTCTTCAAGTTTACAGAACGTTATCATGTTATCTTGGTTATATTTTTAGCACTGTAAGTTTATATATCCAAAGGCGTATTTTATTGTTAATATGTGTATTTTTTCCAATTTAGGTGTTTGCAGAGCTAGAGGCCATTGTAGATAAATTAGCAACCGAAAGTCAGAGGGGTTCGTACAGCGTTAAAAAAAGTAATGGATCAACTTTACCAAGAAATACAATTAATAATTCACCTGTAATCAATAATATATCACCTCCACCCATAAGCAGTATTCCAGGAAAACGTAAGCAATTTTTTTCTTTCTTGGCGTTATTTATGAGTTTTCGGTGCTAAGAAACGTTTCCGCTTAAGTGGATAACACAATCTCTTCATCAGTTGAGTATTATTATTTAACGTGTAGTAGTGAATTATAAAAATGTATTGGGAAGGAAAGTTACTAAGGCTATATTGTTCGCAAGCACATTTTTTAACAAAAGCATAGTTGCAGATATTATGTTCATTGAACTTTTAATTATCTGATTTAAATAATTATTGGCAATAATTTTTACTTTTAATTATGTGCCCTAGTCCATGCAAGAGATTATTCAGACACCTAAATACAATAAAGATCAGTTGTGTGTATAGTTGGATAGTTTCCAATGGAATGTATGTTGTAATTTACTACGGCAGTAATTATGTTTGCATCACACTGCTGTGAAAGTACATATATACAAGGTGATCAATTAATTTCTGTGGTTTTCCTCTATACAAATGTAACGTCAGTATTAACATTTCTTCTCTGAATAATCTATGATGTGTGTGAAGACACGTTCCACTTCTGGTTAAAGGTAACATCGTATTGGCAAATTGGTTTTGCTGTAACTAAAAACATAAATTCCCATTTCGCTATTTTATTAACAAATTTTGCCGTATCCTCTTCAGTGTATACCAGACATCATAGATACGGTCACAGAGATTTGTTAGAAGAATTGCACTGCCACTGCTATTCAAAAAACTAACAAATTTCCACAAAAAGTAAGTTGTAATGTTTGTGTCAAACCTCAGGGTTTCAGGGCAGAGTAGCACATAAGTATGAACGGTTGAAGCGAGAGTTAATCGTGGTACACTGGCATGTAAACAAGATTTCAACGTTTAGGCAAACATCTGACAAACTTTTAAGGACTTCAGAAAACTTCTATGAAACTTCAAAAACTTCAGAATAAATTCTAAACTATTAGTTGCTCCTTTACACAAAATATTTTCAGAAAACCACCCACTTTTTTTACTTGTCCTTTAACTATACAAGTTTCTAATCAATGCACACAAACTTATAGCTTATGTAAAAAAAATTAAGTGTATGTAGAAAGGACATGATCAATTTTCATGTTTGTGAAGATATTTTCCTGTAATTTTAACTTAATATAAGCATTGGTAGCACAAAAACGAACGTGCTAAAGGAAATTAGAGGTAAACGATCCAATATAAAACATACGGCATGTTGCTTAAAAACCTGTTTGTAGCGATGGAGATATTGAGCGAATATTCAATTAAATAAATCAAAATTCAAAACAGTCCATGGTTTTAATATGCAATGTCCTATTGTCCATTCCCTGGTTCTTCTTTGAAAAAAGTGTACACCAGATTTAAACGAGTTTAAATTCATTATCTATTTTTATGGTCAAAGCATCGGGTAGCCAACACTAAAATCTAAGAAACACATACAAATTGCTTTGTTTAAATCAGTATACCGGCCTTTCATTTCAAAATGAATCACCGATTGTAATTTTGACAAAACAGCAAAAATTTCGAAAACTTCCATTTAGATACCTAGAGGGAAGTATTAGAATATGCACCAAGTGGCACTTCATTTTAAAGGTCATAAAATTGTCTTTACTGAAATACCCACAAAATTAAATTTGGATAATCTGGTTCTGAATTAATTTTAAAAAACCAAGACTGATGCAAAACAAATGAATTTTACACATTTCACATTGTATAAAATTTATTTTATTAAATGCCCAAAATTGTCACAGACAATAATAACAGTCGGTGTTGAATTTGTTCACACATTAATAAAAGTGTCTCTTGTAATTTGCAGTTGTGTAACCACCATCTGGCAGTTCGGGGCAATGCTCCGAGGCCCCGCAATCTCGGGGGGCCTCGCAACCTGAAAGGTGCCAGCCACACGTAGAAAACGACGTGTAGTATACAAAATATAAAAATGTGTGCCATACCCATAATGCCTCATTTTAGTGTCTTAAAATTGCTAAATCTTCGCCCACAATACAATCATTCGAAGCTCGTAACTAAAAAAAAATGTTTATATTCTGAGATCTGAAATTATCAAACAGAAAAGAAACAACTCCATTCATACAGGGGCCCTGGCATTCATTCTTTCATTAGCGATAAGATTATTTAGCGAGACTGTTCATGCTGAATTGGTAAAACAAACGAAGTACCTACCTATATTTCATTTTCCAGTTTGCATTTTTATTTCCTTTAGTTTCCAACTGTTACTGGGTTATCTTTTATTTGCCCTTTAATAATTACCTATATTGTTTCGTCGCACCGTGGTTGACAAAAGTATTTTCGGGAGCGAGGTGTGTGTTGTGTCGTAGTTTGCAATTTGTATGTGATATTGATTGACATCGTGCGTTTGAGTTTTTGTTTTGTATGTTTTTTAGTAGTTAGTACTGTGTTTGTTGCTATTATTCTCACAAACCACAAATGACTGTTTTAAGGTGATTTTATTTAAACGATTATTATTAAAAACTTTAATTCGTGTCTAGTACTTATAGGGGGCCCCGAGGCCCCGAGCTGTCTTGTTACGCCATTGGTAATTTGTCTACATTCATATGTTATTCTGTGTTTCAGCTCTTGAATATTGTCAGGTGGAATCTTATACACTACCGTTTTCTTTAATGAAATAAGTCAAGTGGATGCAAGTCAAGAGACATATATAAATTGGTACGAACTTGATATACACCTGTCCTGTCGTCATTTTTTGAGGATACTTAATATAAATGTAGGTGTTGGCACACCCAGCAAACTTCGTACTGCCTATCAGTCAATGTCCCACTCCCGGATGGGGCATAAGCTCGGTTTGGGCAGCTGCGCCCCCTCACCTCATCCGAACGTCTCGCTCCAGGATAGGGCACGAGCTCGGATGTCGGCGGCTGCACCGCGCTCGTGTTTACTGCATCAGAAACGTTTGCGGACATACATAATTGATATGTTTCTCGCCTCTGGTTTGAAGTCGGCGGTATGGATTCTTGTACAGCATTGGTGCTCAAACTTAAACTGACGATCTACCTTAATGTTGTTAGACTCTGATCGATTTTGAGAGGCTGCAAGTATGTGTGGTGTAGGATTGTTGTGTATGTAGAGGCGTATCGTCGCGCAAAAATATAAGTTTATAGGGAGGTTGCACAATTTCATGGCCATCCATGGATGGATATACCTTCCGTACATAGAATTAGTTAGTATGTAGAAACCACACAATTTAGTGTTACATAAAATCAATTTTTTTAAATCAAGTCTGCTCTGAAAATCGTAGTATTTCTTGAGATCGACTCAAAAAGCACCGTTTGAGCAACCCTGTTCTACAGCGATAGTAGAGCTCGCTGTGGCGCCATCTATTAGTCATATTGCGATTTAAAATTTTGGAAAAGAGAATATTTGTTTTTCACATCTTTCCCGTTTACGTACCATTTTTTTGGAAATTATTGATACAACAAAAAAAAGAATTATCTAACAACTGTTTAGTCATTCTAAAGTTATGCACATACCTCGATTTCAGGAAAATTATACAGGGTGGTGACTTGCGTAACGCATCATAGGGATTTCAATGTAAAATTCATAACATGCGATTATTGGCTCCCTAAATTATTTTAGAGCAAAAATGTATTAAGGTTTTTTGTAGGAGAAAATTTTTTACCTCAATCAACTGTATTAGTTTTCAATTTATTGCATAATAAAGACGGACAATTGGAAAAATAAAACCCCCATCTTTTTCAATAATCTGTGATGCCATGGAATTTTATAATACAAAAACTACGCCAATATCCGTCATGCCATGGAATGTCTGCTATAAAGCAAATCAAATTCTATCAAAAAGTATTACATATATTTAGAACAGCGAATTCGACATAAAGAAAGACCAAATTACTAAAAACGGTCTCCTAATATAACAATTTACAATAAATGTTCGAATAAGTCACCATTAACTGCAGTACAGTAACCCAAGTCGATCAGAAAAGCCATTTCGAACTGCTGCTAATTGATAGCGGGATATCTTTTTGTTTTAGAAAATTCCATGGCATCCCAGATTATTGAAAAAGATGCGGGTTTTATTTTTACAATTTTCCGTCTTTATATGCACAAAATTGAAAACTAAAGGTGGGTTCATAGCTCTCCGTTCATCCGTTGCGTTGATCCGTCAAACGCATAGTGCATTTTGTTAAGGTTCATAGCAATCCGTCCACATTGTACATTTGCAACGTATAACCATAACCTAAATTTTATTTTGTACTATACCCTCCGTGATTTTCAGTATGTAAAAGTGATACGAAAGTAAAAACACGTTGCTATCTGATTATTACTGTGAAGAACGAATAGGCGAATACTGTTAACGTACCAAACATAACCTCACTCTTGTTAAAAACGGACCAACGGAAACGTAAATGTTCAATTTCAACCAACTTTTCCGTCGTAAACGGACGACGTACGATTTAAAAATTTGCTGTCTTCTGATTGGCTAACGGACAAACGGAAACGTATGAACGTAGAGCTATGAACTGACCTTAACACTGTTGATTGAATTTTTTTCTACAAAAAACCTTAATACATTTTTGCTCTAAAATAATTTGGGGAGCCAATAATCGCATGTTATGAATTTTACATTGAAATCCCTATGATGCGTTACGCAAGTCATCACCCTGTATATTTGATATACCGTTATGCCATATTTTTCATTTTTGTGTTGTTACTTTTGTATATAATATGTGAATAAAGGTCATTATTATTATTGTTATCTCGATCTTTCCCATTTTGAAGTCTAGGATTTATTTTTCTTTTTACTGTAGGCGGATTAACAGGTGCAGTTCTAGCTAATTCCTCAATTGATATCATTCTTCATCATTTGTCATTCCATTCCAAAGTTTCTTACATAAAGTACATGAAATACATTGTTAATCAGCCTGACTTTTTCTTGTCCACAAGGTATCTGAAGGGCCTGGATGTGGTAACCTTAGACTAAAGTTGTATTTTGAGATGAATGCTGTATTTTTAATACTAACTAAAAGTACATCTACCTCTGCACGGGCGAAAAAATTAATTAAATTTAATTTCACTAAAAAAAGGCGGGTTTGTGCATAAAGATTTGAAGTCGCTAATCAATCTAAATGAGTTTAAACAATCAAATCAAAATTAATAACTGGCCAATCTCAAACAAATCTAAATAGGAATACCATTTACACCTGGAGCATTGAAGGATGACTGTCCCTTAAGTTACAAGTATATGAAGGCAATAGAATTTACCATAAAGCGAATAATTACAATTACATCTAAGCGCGTTACCTTTTTGTTATAAGTAGCACAAACACGAAAATTGAATTATAGAATTAAAACGACCCTGACTGCATACAGAAAGCAAAGTGACGCTAAAATTCAAAAATGAACCTGAGTGAACTGAACACAAATGCAAATTCGGCAAAGCTAAATAGACATTACTTCCTTCATGCAGGGTGTTTTTTTTAAGATGGGCAATAGGACAATGTAAAGGCCTTGAGTTATTTAAAAGGGGCCATAGGGAAATTTAATTGCATCAATTATTCCACGGTTGTTCCTCGCGAATCATTTGCCACGGTATTGTTAAAATGATTTGTAAACACCTTTCAGCAGTGGAATACATATTGCTGCTTCGTTGATGCAATTTGAAGGATTGAGATCGAGAACTGTCAGTGAAATAACTAAGCGCAGGCCAAGATTTGAGAACTGTGCGCAATGTAAATTTCCCTATGGCCCATTTTAAATAACTCAACGCTTTTACATGGTCCCAGACCTACGCTTATGCTTATGATGTATGCTAAGTGTGTACTCTCTATGGCCCATCTTAAAAAAACACCCTGTATAACAAGCTATCATTTAAAAGTTGCAGACATCGAAATTATGACATTGTTGGACAGTAACTTTCTTTGATTATATGCTACTGTGTAGCGCATTCTTAATGATGAAAGAGTACAACCCGTGTTCCAATTCGTGCAACACAGATAGCTATAATTTTCCAGTGAAAAGAAATGAGATAAAAGAAGTTTGTACCAATTTGAATTGCGCATGTCAGAACTTAATAAACCGGAAACTAATGGCGTTGTCCGTATAACCACAGCTGATTCATCTTTATTTGCTTTATACGTTATTTCGGCTGTACCTTTAATTAATCGTGATAATTGTGCGTAGTTGTTATGTTTGTAAAGAGAATAGTTCATAATATGCAATTAACGTGAAGGTGAATGTTTACTTCCAAAATAGATGTAACGATTTGGGCAGTCCGACTATTCCCCCGCGAAGTTTATACGGTAAACATGCGCATTTGGTACAAACATACGTCTATCTCTTTTTTTGGAACATACATTTTAAGTAGTATATAATCAAAGGTAACTTCATTGTTTCGGCTGAAGAGGCTCTGGCAAGCCTGAGCAGCGCGCCTCCGGCGTACCTGTAATCAGCAATGTCTGAGGAATGAAACGCGATGACCCCATGGTTTCGATGGTAACGTATTTTATAGCCGTGTGTCTCTGTACACGCCAACGGTACTTGTTTGAAATTTTGAAGTCAGACATCTCAAGCCACGGTCCATATACTAAACATTGAACTATATACTCGTAACTAGAAGGGAAACGAGCATATTATTAGTGAAGCCAGACAAGTGGTAGTATCTTTATCACTCTCACTCTAGTCATTGACACTTTTTTCTATTTCACTTAAATTCATACAGTCGTATTTTCTGCTTCTATCAGGCGTGCTAATAAGCAAACTGGACGCGATGAGAGTGAGGGAAATAGATATACCACCACCTCATTCTGTCACACGACTTCAACGGTACACATTTGTCGCCTATACCGGTTTCCCTTACGGTTGTTTATAGTGATACTAAACGGTTGCCTCACTTGCTGCAGTGCGTGGGCGCGGAGCGAGAGGGTAACTTACTGCTTATGACGTAGTTTAGCCTGTCGTAAAGTTTTTGACGATTCTGTACGTTTGACGTTTGTACCACGCCCATCGTGCGCAGGTCTATTGTATCCGTTTCTCAGCCTCATTTGCGGCGTTTTTTTTTTATTATTGTGTTAATTTTCTTTCAAGATATTGAATTTTTGGTTAACTATAACTATACACTAAACTGGTACCGTGTATGTGTGTACCCACGAATCTTGTGCTTCATTAACACTGTTCATGAACCAAATTACCAAAGATTACTTGAAATGTGCTTTTGCGGTTTCTTTTGGTAAGTGTACGACTCAAGAGTTCAGTCACAAACACACGTACAGAAGAATTTTATATACACAGATAATGATGTATGCAATACTAAATTATAAATCTTTCTATTCCATAAGTAAAACTAGTTGTTTTATTGGTACATACTTAAACATATAACAAAGCTCGTACATATGCACTGTCCAAGAAATAAACTAGTTCTGAATGTTGCTTAAAATATCATTACAATAATAAACACAAAAATGCAAGCCATAATGATTGCAAACATTAACTCGTTTTGCTATAAAATGACTACCGAATGCATTGTGTGGTGGGAGGTGCTTACTACAGGCTCAAGCACGTCACGATCGGCAGCGCGTTTTGTTGCTTGTTTGGGGGTGAGGTAACCGTTTAGTATACAGACCGTGATCTCAACCTGCATTGTAGAAGCGGCCCTAAGTAGTGCACGTACTATTCAGCTTTTAAATAATCAAAAATTATTTGGATTTCTAAAAGCTGTTCTCTAGACATTGCACGTATTACCATATTGTACTATTGATTGATGAAGTATTAAAAGATGTTCATACAGAAGATATATGGGTCTTTTCATTTTATTTACAGATGTTTTGAGATGATGCGTTGATGTATGGTGCAATTTTTTATTATTTTGCTCAACTGAGCCATTTGCCCATCCAGTATATCTGCTTTCATACGATACATTTCACATTTAAGGGCCGGTATTTCCATCTTCGGATAAAGTACTAGATTCGTACCTGCCAAATAACTTATACCGCCCGATATCTTCCGTTTATCTATCTGCGAGTATTTCCATCAGCGTGCGGTATAAATATATCCCGTAGATAGCTATCTAACCATAGCCAATGTTGCCGATTTTAGAAGTCTGTAATAGAAAAAGATAGCGAACGGCAGGGTCATATATTAGAGCAAGATAGCTTACTACCTGACAATTTGAACGAATGCTTTTGTTTTGGAAAGAAATTCAGTGACTTGTAATATACTTGTCAAACGTAAATTACAGAATAAGCTTTACTTATGAGTACTCTGAACATGAACCAAAATCGTGATGTAAATGCACCACGTAGAAAGAAAAGGCTAATTTCAGCACATCTGAAAATCGTGTGCTGGTATCAAGAAAATCTTGATCCATTTGGAATCTAAAATAGGTTACCTATATCCTTCAAGAACACATAGTATGTATTTGCGTACTTCTACTTCCATACTTCAATTTCTTTCTTCCTATTTAGTATAGGCAAAGAGTAACTATAATTACTCTTTGGTATAGGTACGGTTGGTAATTTCGCAAATTTTTAAAACGTCACCAGTTTACTGGAAATTTGACGCAATATCCTGGGGTTATGTTGATAACTGCAGAAAATCTACCCAATAACTTTATCTAGAACTTATCCTGCCGATAATATCTAAACGAGGTTCGAAATACTCGAAGCGACGCTAACTGTCGGTTTACCTGGAAGATATCTTATACTTGACTTTATCCCGAGATGGAAATACCGGCCCTAAAGGGGATAACCTCGGGGATAACAGTGGTTAATCCGAGCGTTTTTGTCCACTTTCACTAACCTAGTTAGACAGATCTTATGACTTTTGTTTTCATGAATCTTCTGAAGGGATCAGCATTCAGCGAGTTCTCACACTGGTGCAGCCTGCCTCGACGTTTTGACGCGTACTTCATTTAAGATGCGCGGTACTCTGCACCTTCAGCCTTGTACCGAATTTTGTGCCAAATGTGGTAAACACTTTCTTCCAATGTTTTAGAGGCTTCAAGCTTCTGTTTTTGCACAGCAACAAATATCAGAGCGTGCATTTATATAATGTAGGTTCTTTTGAAATCTATTTAATGGATTATGAGAAACGTACTGATGTAACACTATGTAGTGATCAGCAGGCCTATTGTATTTTGAGGTACTATTTACAGCAGTTTTACTAATAAATACTACTTTATTTTAATGATGAACCCCTGACATTTGGAACAGAGTCAAATCTAAATTTGGAGTGAGTTCAAATGATGACCATTCTTTTTTATATGGTGGTATTTTAATTACGACAAAAGCGTGGTCTTTTTGTGTGAACGTAATTACAGACTACGCATATTTATAGACACCTCATTCGACAACTAAGATACTATTATGTTGTTCCCGGTAAAATAGAATTTGGTTTAACTTTGATGTGTTAATCTATTTGTTATTGCCTCTAAAAAAGTGAAATTGTCAGAAAGTGGTAATCGGATATAAAAAGAGAGGATGTAATTTATCGTGAGTGTGCACTGTATAATGTAGGAGAAGCTATTACAAAAAACTGTTGGCACCTAGAGAACATGTAACATAAAAAATTCTTTAGTAACAATGTTGGCATGCAGTCCTGGGCAGCATTATTTTACACAGCTGTTACCATAATCATTTTTAGGAAAAAAAATCCTTCACATTCTTACTCATTGAAGAGGATTTATTTACAGGGTGTTTAAACAGATTGAGAAAGGTTCTAAAAGCCAGAATGAGGAGAAATAAATCAAGTAGCATAAGTACAAAATAATGTACGATCTTTGCACAGAAGCAATCAGCCGATATATCAGGAATATAAACTAGGAAGACGTTGTGAATGCGCGGTGCGCTTGACTTTGTGGCGGTTAGTTACTTGTTAAATCTTTTACAGACTTAATGAAAGATGTCGTACCTGCTGAGTAATTAAATGAATTTACTAAGGCTGAAAATTGTTATAGAAATAGAATATTAATTAAAGTTATGATGGTCAGTCAATTAGGGAAAAATATACCTAATTCAATATAAAAACATAAGCATTTCCACTCTCTCCATCCTTGTCAGTCGCGTGGGGTTGCGCGTTTAAAAGTCAAGATATGGCTTGATCGACCGCTTTGGAGTTTTCCAATTTCTTCACTTGCGCCGTTTTTGTCACCTTTCTGTCTGATGATGATTTGAAGTCGCCTACAAACAAAAGGCACAATTGATTTTTGGTAAGTACATATAGCTTGACACTGTCAAAATTGAAGAATGTCCCAAACCAAAGAAACCCTATCGGGCAACAATGACAAAATTATTAAGTGTATCGCCGACCTTAAAAATCAACGGAAGGAGCTCGAGTTTTTAATCGGAAAGCAGCAAGAAGAGCAGACCATGTTGCAGACCGACATGGAACGAATTACTCTCAAATTGGGCATAATAGGCAAAAGTCACGCGCGGCGCATTGCTACCAAAGACAATTACGATAACGCTATCAAAAATGCGGAAGAAAGTTACCAGGAAATCGTAACGTTATCCGGACGACTATTACAAAGCATACGGAAGAATATGTTGGAGTTGGAAGAAGCGATGGATAAGAAAACCGGTACTGACACAAACGTGAAATTTCCAAACAGTAACAGTCCAAGCCAAAACTCTGACAAGGAATTACTGCATGCGATTGAATCTAGTCTGATTTCGCTGTAATCTTGAAATAAAACCACGATACACTTACAACAGTATGCTATTGCACATCTAGTGTGACGTCACATGCAAAGCAAAATCACAGAATATAGAGTACTCTGTATTCTATGGTAAAATTACCCTTCTTAAGGTGGGTTCATAGCTCTTCGTTCATACGTTTCCATTTGTCCGTTAGCCAATCAGAAGACGGAAAAATTGAAGTTTCCGTTGGTGAGTTCTTACCAACCAGTGCGATGTGGATGAATTGCTCTGAACCTTAACAAAATGTACTATCCATTTGACGGATCAACACAACTGATGAACTGAACTGAGTTATCAACACACATTTAGATGTAATTGGGTTTTCCACATTAAAAAAATTATTGGTAATCATTTTTTTGTCAAAAGAAATCGTTGTGATTAGCAAACACGATTTTAAAATGAACGGCGTTTGAAAAAGTTTCGAATGACCACCACGTTGCTGTGACGTCACTACGCACGTTGACGCTCAGCCGTAGTATTGCTTACAATCGAGCCAGGGAAAGAAAACGTCGTTTTGACGGAAAAAAGCGTCGAATAATTATTGCATTGTGCCTGGGTGTGATAGCAGAAGTCATCGCGAACCTAATAAATTGTTTATAAACGTCCCAACAGGAAATATACGAAAAAAGTTCGACGTGATACCGCGAGTGACTCTTTGACATCCCACTTGTATTTTTGGGAAGACGATTCTAATTAATTAAAGTACATAATGTCGATTTACTTTCAGTCAGTTATCGACGAAAATCCATCGATATAATATTGTAATTCACAATATGGTTTACTTCGAACTCTATGTTTTGGGCATCTCCGTACCCTTACAGTGCACACATTTTTCTCTATTTTCACTTCCACATATCCCACACCATAATTTCGTTGAAATCCGTAAGGTGCATACTTTATTAGGTACCTACACTATACCTTGCATTATACACACAAAACTTTATGTTATACTTCCTCTAAACCCTAACAGACTTGCTTCTGGGGTTTGACTCCACTCAAACGAGTGGCATCGAAAAACTCATTTTTCGAGAAAAAGGCGGCGACCCTTAATACTTCAACCTTTGGCAGACTATCAACTGCCCCTTTACGAACCAGTCAGAACTCATTTTGTGGAAGACTGCCATAATAAGTCGAACTCCTATCAGTGTCATCCACTAACTCACGATCGCCAACCTGCGTAATGACGTAAGCGACGCTCGGTAAATATCGGCATTTCGTCGGTTTGCATGACAAAATTTGAAAGTTTTACGATATTATATGTTGGTTATTGACATGTTGCAATTAGAAAAAAAAGTGTTGTATATGAGATGTTTAATTACAGGTTATAAACTTTACAGTAAGACACAAAAAAGTTACAATATTTTTTTTCAGGAAGACCCTATTAATGCGTTATCAATTGAATACGACTATAACAGTGCTTGCCATACTGTACTAAAAGACGCGTATGTAATTATTGATATTTTTGAAACGGTTTTTTACATGGTATTACGTCATTCAAATTTGGGATTATGTTTATTTGGTATTATCTGGTGCGGTTAATTAATTACTGCCAGAATAAGAAAAAACAGTAAGTAAAAGATCTTAATTAGGTCTGGTCTATTGTAATGTTTTAGGTGTAACGGCAATAGTCAGCTCCAGTTAGTTTCAGATTATCATTTTGCCTATATGATGTTGTTGCAGTGCGTTTGTATTATGATCAGAAAGGACGATCTCTGCAAAATTGTTATGAAAATAAGATTTATAACACTGTGTGTGCAATACCAAATTATACCAGTACGCTGTACGAGCTATGTTATTTGTTTGGATGTGAAATGCAATAAGATTAGTCTTTGAAAAAATGTAAAGTATAGAACTGCGGAAATGCTTTTGTTAAGATATACCAATAGTATGTAGTTCCTTCGAATTAGAAATGTGTATTGCCTACCTTTCGACATGGGATCCAATCAGTGGGGTTTCTTTCTGAAATTAGGGTGTTTAAATGTAGCTGTAAGCTACATGTGTACATTTAATTAATGATAATATATTAATTCGGTGAATATTCATTGTCAGTTGCAAACTGTCACAAGTAAGATGCTAACTTGATCGTATGTAAACCTTTGAATTTTGGCGCTTCGCACATGAGGTAATGTGCAGTAGAAAACGCGTTTGAGAAAAACAATGAGCATACCTTTGAAAGTGTATTGTGGATAAAACTTGCTTCAAGTGCTTTCCATTTTTCTAAGTGGGAAATATGGACATCAAAGCTTTCGGGATCAGACACTTTAGGTTTCAATTTCCATCAACTGTGATGAAACCTGATGTTGTTGTATTCTAAGAGTTGTCGTTTTAAGAGCTTATTTGAGATATGCTTTTGTTTTTTGAAAAAAATCCACAGTTCACTAGATATGAGCGAAAAACAGATTTAGTGATTATTCATTTAACTATTGTAGAATCGTTATTATTAGAAATACAACAAAATGACACGACTCAAAGTTTTAGACATTTTATTGCTTAACATGATGAACATACTAATTTATTTTTAGATCTTACAATTTTTGAGTTATAATACAAACTTTAATTTTTTTAAATGGTAGTCATAGTTGGCTTTGACATTTTTAAAAAGGACAAATTTTTCTTTTTATAACGATATAAAGCTTGCTAAATGCACTTTAACAAATAAACGCCCTGCAGTAATTTTCGTATTTTGAGAGGTAAGTAAACAGTTGGCCATGGAAAACAATATCTAGTGAGATAGGTATCTTTCATTTACGACGAAAGTTGGACAGGCCAATGTTATCTTCATTTTCTACCAAATGACTTTCAAGATATGTAGGATGGGTTAGATTTGGAAACACGACGTAATTTACGCTGGTTTCAATATAACAGTGCCCCGTTGCACAACTAACTGCAAGTTAAATATTATAATAGACTGTAATTAAGAGAACAAAAATGTTTCTCAGGGCAAAATTTGTTTTTACTACTCTTAATAATACAAACAGTTCTGTATCATATTTATTTGTCAAAGTAAATACAATGAACCTTATATCATTGTAAACAGAAAAAAATGCACTTTTTAAAAATGTTACAGCCAACTATGATTACCATTTAAAAAAATGTAAGTTTACGTTATAACTCGAAAATTATAAAAGAAGAATAAATATTAATAAATGTATCTTATTAAGTGGAAAAAAATCTACAATTTTTGTTCTTTGCATATGTCTGTATTTCTAATACTAACGATTCTACAACAGATAAATGAAAAATCACTAAATGTGTTTTTCGCTCATATCTAGTAAACTGTGGATTTTTAAAAAAAACAAAAGCATATCTTGAATAAGCTCTTAAAACTACAACTCTTTCCTCATTTAACCGAATCTCTATGTCTTACGGTTTCCGAAATCCTAATGCTTAAAATGAAAAAAAACTCACCCTGTATATAAGAGCTTGCAACAAAAGCAAAACAGTGATTTTCATGAGAGTAAACCATCCATTTTTTCTCCGCTAGGAATCTGCTTATAAAACCAGTTTTTAGTCTGTGGGGTTTGGCAAACTTGATTTTCTCCAGGCTTCCGAACTGGCTCAAATGGTCTATCCAAATTTTAGAAATTAGTAACATAAAAGCTTATGATAGACAGACATTCGGAAATATGACTGTTTCAATTTCAACTTTCAACTTGTTTTGGTCACCTTACCTTAGCAAATAGAGTGACAAATGCGCCAGTGATAGGGCGCTCAATATTTAGTTAGTGTATCCATACAGTTCTATTTCGTTGCCTTTTTCTTTTTTTTCTATCAAATATAAACAGCGTTTCTCAAGATCGTCGATCTTGACGAAATGCTTCAACACGACTGTGTGGGTGTTTGTACAAATAAGTATGTTACAACTTACCCATGAGAAACTCAATTAAACACCCTTGAACTGTAAAGCAATATGACGCTTTAGTAACTTTCTTTGTCCCATAATTAATAATATGATTTCAATAGTACACAAAAACTATTGATGAATATAGATAATTTTAAATGCAAATAGATTCATTGCCAGACCTGAATATCTGCTTAAAATTGTTTATTATAGTGAAGTTAGATATGAACATGCCTTTCAGAACACAACACAAAGTCACAAACACATAACGTCTAAATGTGATAATCTAAATCATACAAACAAAACATGCAAAAACAAAAGACGTTAGCATAGCAATACTGTTCGTAGTCAGACAAGACTCAGCACTATCTGAAAAATTACTTCCTTTCTGAAAACAGTTTCATTTAATCAACTCTTTGTCACCTCTGCAATTTAATACCTAGTACATGCCATTCACTTTTTTAAATTCTCTTATTTTCTGTACTATTCAGTTGCCGATCACTGAGTCTTCATAATAATAAACACATAGCCTTTACAAGAATAGATGACTGACTATGGGTCAGTTATTGGGAGGTTGCACAGTCAACTACACTACTTTTTGGCATGCTCTGTAAAATTCAAAATATCTATGACATGCACCTACAAGTTTAATGGACACTCCCACAAATTTACAAGCATGCAGTGAAGTTTTTTGTTAACAATTAATTTGCAAAACCACCTTCTTTATTTTATGTGTGCGCGAAGCCGTTTTGCAATGCTTGTTTTATGTTTGCTAACAAATGTGTGTTTTACAGCCGCTGAAGAGCCTGCATCACCCATCACTACTAAAATCCAAAACGATAACGATAAATCCATTTCTTCACAATCTGAAGAATCAAACGCAGTGCCTATAAAAACTCTTCCGCATTCTAATTCCCCACCAGCTACTCCCGAAGCACCTATTAACTCTACACCGCCACTCGATAAATCCGAATCTAATAATGTAGATGGCTGCAATAATCCTATATTGCTCTCCAAAGCAAGTGATGTTAAGACTCATGTTGACAATAAAACAGCAACTAATACAAATGATACTGAAACTTCTCACACCAAACATACTGAAGAACTGTATGACATTCCTGTGGGTAAGTACTTGAAATAATTCGTAATTTAGTAGCTTTATTCGATTGAATTGTTTGTGAAATACTGTTTGTGTGTCATTTTTTTTAGAGTAAGTTAGGACACTTAAAAGAATGTTAAATAATCAGGTGTAGAATTCTTCAAATGTGATATCTTCGTGGAGTGATTTTCCATTTATCCTAAAGATATTTTTCCATGTATCCTTAGATATTTAAACTTCAGGAACGGTCCTCTGGTTGGGCCACTAAGAGGGGCAGATTGAGAAGAATGACAGTTAGTTTCGCCCAGTAGACTTATTCACAACTGTGTTCTGTGTTGTAGATATACTTCATTTGTATTTGTGGGAACTTCATTCTTATCTCTGAGATTCATCTGTCGTCTGCAGATATAGTTTTGTTCTCCATGTTAATGGGTATGTGAAAGTACATAGTAGTACGTGGGCCTTAGGCCATCTAATATTATCAGCCAATTCGAAGCTTAGTTGACCATGTAACTCTCATATCACATGTTATCTTGAGCAAGATTATTTTCGAATTTTATTTCTCTGACCCCTAAGCGAAACAAGGGCGGGCCGATATAGGTTTTCCAGACACTCACTAGTGAAAAAATTACAGTGGAAATGTCTAAGAATACGATAGCAACAGGGAAGATACTGCTTCAGCATACCTACTCCACATGGGTATTATATTTTTTATTGGTTTTTATTTTAAAATGAACGGGGTTTCAGTCAAAGCCTCTCACAGTTTTTTTTTTTATTTTTATTTGTAGTGGGGAAATGCACCTTATGCACACTCCATAATGAGGAAGTTCGGAGTAGTGTGGGGCTCTCCCGTTACCCAGGCATACCCACTAAAACCCCACCTAAGGCTTCGGCTTCAAAGGCCATTTGCCTGTTTTCTGACTAAGGGTTTATATATCACAGTTTATAAATATCACATGCACAGTACAGTAACTTATATATAGGACATATCACAGACATTTTACACTCAAACATTCTTTACAATATATCACAGTCTATGTATCACATTGATAGTATGCATGAATCGCAGTACATTAGACACTTGCCTATGTTGTTGAAATTTTCTTGCCATATAGCACTGATTTGGTGGAGGTTGCGCGCATTTCGGTGCTCCGGACAATCACAGAGCATATGATCCAGTGTTAGGTCTACTCCACAATATAAGCACTGAGGTCGGCCTTCACCGGTCAATAGGTAGCTATGTGTTAAGGCAGTATGTCCAATCCGAAGCCTATATGATTTTGTCGAGGCAAAACGACTCGCACCTACAAGAAAGAGTGATCCCAAATTGGGTTTGACTCTCTTTAAGAAAACATTCGACACCGACCACTGTTCATTCCAACGCTCATATATTTGAGCTTTTACAAGTGCACTTCTCGCTTTAACGGACATATTTTCAAAATTAGTGTCTTCTAGATGTAAATATCTAAGTTCCTCTGTAGCTCTTATGTCCATTGCTCTACATCTATTCAAACGCGTACTTGTAGTGTCTTCTGTAAGTAGGTGGTTATTCGGGTGATTGTCATTTAGCAATACCTTTAGATAGTAGTTTACTAATATCTGTTTTTGGCGAAGAGCTAGAGGAAGGATATTTGCTTCTACATGAAGTGAGGCGATTGGACTTGTAGGGTATGCCCCAAGGGAGTGCCTTATAGCAAGATTCTGAATTTTTTCAAGTTTCCCAATTAAAGATTTATTGTTACATGTAAAATAGACAGAACACCCATAATCAAATTTAGATAAGATCAGTGTCTTGTAGATGTCAAGTAGTGTCTTGGCGTGTGCTCCCCATTTTTGATGGGCTAAGGCTCTGATTACATTCAGGGATTTTCTGCTTGCAGTTACAATGTTCTGTATATGTTTAGACCATCTTAACTCTCTGTCAAATGTTAATCCCAGAAACTTGACCTCTTGGGGCACACTTATTACACGGCCATTCATGAATAAAATTGGGTTTGCGAAGTCGACAAAAGTGTAAGGCCTTTGTCTTCTCTTCTGACAGCACAAACCCAACATTGTTGGCGTTTTCCCAAACTCTCTGTCAAATGTTAATCCCAGAAACTTGACCTCTTGGGGCACACTTATTACACGGCCATTCATGAATAAAATTGGGTTTGCGAAGTCGACAAAAGTGTAAGGCCTTTGTCTTCTCTTCTGACAGCACAAACCCAACATTGTTGGCGTTTTCCCAAATTTTGTTTATTGCGCCTTGTAGTTTGCGGGTTATGACACCAACTGTTTTTCCTGAATAGCAAATCATCAGGTCATCGACGTATAGACATTTATCTATTTCCTCATCAACGTCTAGAGCTATTTCATTTATGGCAATGCCAAACAGGGAACAGCTTGGTGTTGACCCTTGTGGCACTCCATTTTCCAAAACGTGCTCTTTTGAATAGGCGTCACCGACTCTTACGACAAATGTTCTGTCTTCTAAGAATGACTGTACAAATTTTGGTAGGCGCCCACGTAGGTTACACTTGAACATGTTTTGCAATATCCCGTGCCTCCATGTCATATCAAATGCACCTTTGATGTCAAAAAAGACTCCAATTAGGTGTTCCCTATTGTCAAACGTCCTGAGAATTTGGTCACTTAACTTGACAAGATGGTCAGTCGTTGATCACCCCTTTCGAAATCCAGCTTGATATGAGACGTATACGTTGTTGCTTTCCATGAACGTTTGCAACCTCTTATTCACCATTTTTTCCAATAATTTACCCAGACACGAGGTCAAACTTATTGGACGGTAGTGTTGTGCTAACAACGGGTCTTTACCTGGCTTAGGTATAGGGACGACAATGACTCGTTTCCATTCTGGATGGTAAGTAGATTTACTCCAACACGCATTGAAGAATTTTAAAATCTCAAAGTTATTCATGTCTGAGAAAAACACTGGAAAACACCAAACAGTATAGTTAAGCAGTGCAAACTCTGTGCTTCTTTTAAAGGAGGGCATCCATCATTATGGGTCGCTTTACGAGCATCTCACCTGTAGTTTGGATTATCACTGATGACATGATACATATAGATCTTAAAAATAACAGCAAATAAAATTTCTTATTTACGTTTAAGTTGTGGAACTTGTATACCTCATTTTAATGTCTGAACCCCTCAACCTCAATCGAGCGAGTAATTAATTAAGCATTTTTTGTATTGGCCATCTCTTTAGTGTTAATTCCTATCACTTCAAAACCCAATGATTCACTGCAATACAAATCGAATAAAGCTAATTATTACACTTGATTTTTACATGTTTTGTTGTTACTAACAATTGTAATATTCCCTTTGATTTATTTATGATGACATACATGTTATTAAATTTTGCTGGGTTAGGAATTTTTTACTTCGAATCATTTTGGGTTGATAGTTTGATTTCATAGCATTTGAAAAGCAAGCAAACACTAACTAGGTTTTCGGTAAAATGAAATGGTAAACTGTATAGGAACAGTTAGTTACTTATTGGCACTTACATGATTACTTGAAAATTAATTGTTTTATAGAAGAAGATCAATGTAAAGTTTTTTACCAAATTAATGTGACTATATTTTTTTAAGGTGCCACCACTGATAATCTACCATCTGGAGTTTTGTATAGAGTGAAAGCAACTTACAAGTATGCCAGAGAAGATGCAGATGAGTTATCGTTTGATGTTGATGAAATTATTCAAGTTGTGGAATATGATGATCCAGAAGAACAGGTAATATACAGTGATATTCATTATGAAGTAGACATAGGGATTTACGTATATTGTTTTTCCCTATGTCTACTTTTAAGTGACAAAATCCTTCTGAAGGCGCGTAATTTTATGCAACCAAGACAATGGCCCATATGAATAAAAGTAAGCAAATGCTTATACTTGCAAAATTAAAAGTAAATACTCGTAAGTGCTCATTCGCACTGGGCGATTGAGCAGCGCTGCTAAGCAGAAGGACCAGGACACAGTGCAGCGCTGCTAAACTATGCTAAACAGACCAGTATGAAGGGGCAGTTACGAGTATTTACTTTGAATTTTGCAAGTATAAGCATTTGCTTACTTTTATGCATACGGGCCAATAACTGCTTAAAACAAATAAAGATCTGGTTGTCAAGTTGCTTTGGATTTTGTATTTGTATTTTCCTTCGTGTGCGATGTATTCAACTGAAGAAAAAGTTGGTATCGTCAATTGGTATAGTGCCGGTACCAGTTTAAGGAGCGTAAGCGAGATTTATTTTCTGTGAAGCCAATGCAACAGTATGCAAGTTAATTAATAATGACAGCCAGATCTTTATTTTTTTTAAGAAGTTATTTTAGATGCATAAAATTAGGCGCCCTTCAAAAGCATTTTGTCATTTAAAAGTAGACATAGGGAAAAACAACACACTTAAATTCCTATGTCTACTTCTTAATGAACATCACTGCATATCATTGCTCATAACAGTCATAACATAACACTTTCCCTGTGCATGTATGTTTAAATCATACTAATACAAGTGCTGGGAAAGTAGTTCCTGAACAATATTTTTATATACTACTATATCACACTTTTTGCAATACTGATCGTATATGTTTTAATTTTGTACTGAAATGTTTGTGCATCAACAGGAAGAAGGATGGCTAATGGGAATTAAAGAAAATAACGGAGAGAAAGGTATGTTTCCAGCAAACTTTACAAAGCCATTGTAGATTGTCTTGTTTTTATTGAGGAACATGTTATGTAATTTTAAAATATTACGTGCCTTTCTTATAAATAACATTTTGCCATTTTGATTTGTTAATTTTTATAATTATAAACTAATTTTATCGTTGTTGATATTATGCTATTATATATTGTTTTATGAGAAAATGAAGTAATTAATAATTAAAGTACAACTTACCAAATTCCCGAGATTGGGGGTTTGTCGAGAAAGTTTTAATTTATAAGCCAACATACACATTGTATTTGACTAATAAAGTTAATGAAAATATATTACTGATTTATTTTTGTTGCTTAATTATTTACTTTACCTCCTGTTTAGTCAAATTTTTCTGGATATGACATGATTAGCCCGTTAAGCACTGATTTTATGAGCTGGATTCTGGATCACGATAGGGGGGTAGAGACAGGGTCCACGCATACCTAGGCCTCAAATTTGGGCCCTTTGTACTACCTCCGTGACTATAGTCGTCCAACTCATTAACGTCATTCTAGCCATCCCACACTTGAGATAAACCTAAGGATGCTGGAAGGGGAAGCAGCTCCAATCGTAGCCATGTCTGGCCAGGATACCCCTAACATGAATAATCTCAGTTGGACTAGAGCGAAACATTCACAAAGTATATGGTGTGCCGTCTCAACGTACGTCTAACATCCTCCACACGATGGCGATTCTACCAACCCCATGCCTCAGGGTCTTTCTTGATAGCACTGTGCAAAAACACACCTGGCTACGAGATGGTCCTTTGAAGGCTTCTCTCACATGGCGACAATCTAACATCATGTTCCACCTAGCCCTGTACTGGGTTTGGGTGTCTTGAGCCTCTGGACCATAAAACACCTGTTTGGGGGCCAGTCGGGCTAACTCAGCTTTCTCCTTACTTTCCATTCCAGCATGCCCTTTGACCCATGCGAGCAATTTTACAGTGACAAACTGCCTGCAGGACAGCCCTGCTGTCACTGGAGATTCTGATAGTTTGTCGAGATGTACCTACAGTTGTCACTATAATTGCGTAACTTTGGGAAATGGTGCAAAAGAGAGAGAGAGAGAGATAATAATTGAAAAATCTTGGATATTTGAAGTATTTTTAAGAACTTTTGTAGATTATTTTTCACATCGACCAATGAAAACGCCGTATTCAAAGCTACTGGAGAGAATATTTCGGATATTTTTCGGATATACCCCTGCTTGTTGCTAGGCAGCGAAAATATTTTTGAAACAAATAGCAACCCATGTCTATAAAGACATTTGTTTAACAACGCTTAGTAATCGTAATTTTGACGTTTGTAAGTTAATACAAGTTTAGTGCAACATTTTCTCTAAAATGAGTCGTTTCGGTGTAGAATCGCTACAAAATATACAAGAAAAAACTAAGGAAAACGTGCCGTTAAACACCATTAAAACGAAAAACATGGTTTGGAAACAGTTTGCTTCCTTTTGCGCTGACAGGAATTATGAATTAATGGAAACCACTTCAAACGAACAACTCGCTAATATTTTAACAGATTGGGCTTTCAACATGCGAAAATCGAACGGAGAAAATTATAAAGAAAATGTAGTGAAAACTATGTGGAACCAGACTGCAAAAATGATACAAGACAAGTACTTCAACGAATTCAACAGAGAGATTGACCCATTCAAAAACCCAACTTTTAAAGTAGCTAGGGAATGCGAGAAATGCGAAAAAGCGCACACTTCAGGCCGATCCAACCAAACGTACCACCAGTTCAACGGCTTTGGACAAAAAAGACATAATAGCCATGATGAACGTCTGGAACGAAAATACACCAGAGGGATTGCAACGAAAACTATTTATTATCATTTCCGTGGAATTGGCTTGGAGGGGTAATGAAGGACTAACGGCAATCGTGCATCACTTTAAGGAGGAATTGGGAAACGATGGTATTTATACTGGTAGAATTGAATACAATCCTGTGTTCACAAAGACAACACAAGGTGGAGAACGGAAGTGCGCAAATAGTAAGTGGCTAATTGCAAATGAAGAGGCTCTCGATTACTGTCCGGTAAGGTTGTTAAAGAAGTTATTGTCTTTTCTAGGTAAAAATATAAAGACGGACCGTTTATTTTTAACTGTAAACCCCAATTGGAGAGATTTGCAAGGTGTTGGCTGGTACAAAGACGTTCCTGTAGGAAAAAATGTTATGGGAAAATGGATCAACGATTCTGCAAAACGCGTTGGGCTTAACACTACCGACAAGAAAATAACGAACCACTCGAGCAGGGCCACTGCTGTATCCACACTTGCAAAATCTGGAGTTGGGGAGCAGCAAATTATTAAAATTACCGGGCACTCCAATGCCAATTCAATAAAACCATACTTGCAGCTAAATAAGGAGCACCATGAACAAATATTAAAGAAAATGCGGCAAGATCCTACATCTACAGTTGAAATGAATTCGGCTACCTCCACAAGCTATAATGCCCCTAAAACAAACAATAATGTCTACAACAACGGTACCTTCAATTGTACTAATCTTTACTTAAATTAATTGTATGCAATCTGCAGTTTTGTAATTGTGTAATGTAAATAACTTAATGATTATTGGTGATAAATTATTAAATTTCAAATAAAAAATCTTGCAACTAAGACAAGAATTGGTGAAGTGGTTTACTTTCCAAATTTGAAAAATAATCTAGCCAAATACCCCTCGAGCATCAAAATTAATCGAATATTTCCCTTAAGGCCGGATGTCCACCGCATCGGGCCGACGAAGATCGGTACGATTTGAATCGCGCACCTGCATTTCTACTGAAGCCTGTCAACAGAAAAAAAAAAAAACTGTCACGACTGACGACAACGGGCTAAAATAGTCGGTTGTGATTTCGATCGGTCCCGACAATAGTCGAGTCTGTTGACAGGCTTCAGTAGAAATGCAGGTGCGCGATTCAAATCGTACCGATCTTCGTCGGCCCGATGCGGTGGACATCCGGCCTAAGTTTGGCTGCATTGCAACGGGCGGTGTCAAATTTTGGCAGAACAAAAATCCCGAGCCCAGGGCTCGGGATTTTTGTTCTGCCAAATTTGTCACCACACTGTTGCTATGCAACCAAACTTTCGGGAAATATTCGATAATTTTGAAGCTCTCGGGGTATTACTACTGAGAATTCAATCAACTGTTACCTATATGATAGTATTTATTTTTATTATCTGAAACAAGCATGTTACTTTGTTTTTCTAATTTCAGGTTTGAATTTGGTAGAAAAAATACACAATTTTGGCAATTTAACCGTCTTTCTAACTTTGCAACTAAAAAATTGAGCATTTTAGCAATAATGCGCGACCTAATTTGAAACGGACTGTATACAGACCTTGGACTAGGGAAGAGGGGAACTGATAATATCCTACCAAGGAAAGGGCAATGCTGCACCTTGAAGAAAATTTTCGTGTGGCGGCCACTTATAATAAAAATGTGGCTGATATATTCTTGGTGGGTTTTTTTTCGGACACAAAACCAGTAGTTTTATTTAATTCCCTTTCTTATGCTATCTCATGTTTTAACACATATCATATCAATTATCATTCAGATGATATTCGTACCATCCTGCACTTCGAGTAAACGACTACCTAGGTTTGAACATGGCGCGAAAGGTCTGTCAGTTCGACTTGACGCTGCTTGTAATTTTTTCTCGGAGTAGGCAACTTAAATACAGGATTACAGGGTAAGTCAAAAGTGCAGTACCAGATGGGAGATCACCAAGTTCCTTATTAAGATACCCTTGGGATACTTTGTATGTTAATTCGTTAACCATTAAATTAAGAAATCCGTTATCTTCTAATCAACTTTTCTGAAATCCGTAAGAATATTATCAATGATTCTGGTTATAAATTGCTTGCTTATGTAATCATTTTTTAATTTATTTACATGCCAATTGTGAATCAGTTTTTTTAATTACTTAAGTCCCAGAATGAGTTAAAATTTAATCATAGTTTGTGAAACTGGACGGCAGTATAGAAGTGATCTGAAGGCCGAGAATGAGTCGTTGGGGAATACAACGAAAAGTACCTACCTATTCAATACATAAAACCATTTTGTTACCTCATTAGTTTGGGAATAGTATCCTTTCATTCACTGTATACCTACGGTCTATTCAGTATATCTTCCGTTGCACGTCATTACCTGAAGAAAACGACGTACCAACGTAAACTTACTTTCGTTTATTAGGCAACACATTAAGCATGTAGTTTATTTTAGCCGCAACAATTGGTAGCATTTCGCTATGTTGTCGCGTTTAAATTTGTAAATTTGACAGGTTGCTTTTGGTTTACTTTTCGTTTGATCTGATTTTGATTATTTTCTACGTCTTTCGCTGTGCATTGGTTTGAAGAGAAATTACTGAAGAATTTAGATAACCCGTCAGTAATTGTGTTCGATAACGGGCAAACAGACAACATTAAAGTGTGGTTAGGTGATCATAATGTGCAGTTCTCCGAAAATGATTTTAAAGCCGAACTGTTGAAAAGGTTGCACAGTAAGTACGTTCGCAAATTATTTGGTATTATCTAAATCTTGTTGATACTTTTAGGAATAAATCAGCTAAAATGTACCGCATAACGCATTGACCACTTAGCCGAGCATTACGGTTACTTCGTTTTACGATTACCACCCTATCATCGCGTTTTTAATCCTATCGAACATATTTGGGGCATAGCGAAAAATTACTACAATCGACACATGGGTAGAGATGGACGAAGCATTGAAATTGCATAAACAGAAACACTACAACGATAACTTCCGAAACGTGGCGCAATTCAGTTAAGGATACGGAAACTGTAATACACAAGTGGTACGAAAGAGAAAAGCAATTAGATCTTGAAAACGTTGCTACTATTATTATAAACTTTGAACACGAAAGCAGTTCCGATGATTCCGATTAATTTGAATATCATCCATCACATCACATAACCTGTAAAATTTTATATTTAGTACTTTCTCTGTAAAAGAGATGTTACATTTGTACAGTTCATAAGTTATTAAAGTATATTGTATGTATATTGTGGTTCCAATTAACGAAATGAATAATAAAAATTATTTTTATTTTATTTAAGGTGTGGATTGTTCACACAAAGAATGCACTGTCTTGTTGACAAGTGACATAACCTAAATCGCTCAAAACTAGATTTGGCATTATTGCATAGTAATTACGTCACAGAAAATGATGACGTGCAACGGAAGTTATACGGAATAAAGTGTACCTATATCATAACAATATTGAAGGAATTAGGTTAGGTACATAATCAAAAGCTCTAGGGATGTACGAGATATTGCTATTTTACTATTGTATCAACAGAATTGTACAGGTTGGCGTTACCATAAAGCCATGAGCCATCAATGGAAAAGCTTTCAATGTGCACATAGAATTAGTTTTACTCCATGAAAAATGGTCGAAGTGTAACGTAAGTTTCAAAATTGTCATTTGTACAATAAATAGTACCTAACAATATATTAGAATGCGCGGTATACCTACTTCTTATAGGTTTATGTTTTGTCTATTAATGCATGAAATGGCATGTCCACAAATAAATAGAGTGATGTTATTAAGAAGTGATTTACACCGATATTGTTTCTTTCTTGTGAAATTGTACTTTCCGTTTGCCTACCCCGGGCTGTTCACGATCACTCGGGGACGGAAAGGGAGCTTGTAACTTGTGAGTTGTAACTCTATTTTTGGCAATCAATAGATTAGGTCTAACGTTTACCTACATAAGTTATGTGGATGAGCAAAATGCTATTGGCAAAATTAGTCATTTTGAAATTAAATACTACAGCGTCATAGATGAGCCACATCTTATAGCGTTTGCTTCTTCATTTTGATGGGAATGGAAAACCAGAAAATATTTATTTTCCTCTTGTTCTAGGGCTTCAAAAGGCTTACGCCCAATTACAGAATGACCCGCATAATGCTTTTTAGAGGTACCCTTGCAAAAGGTCTCAAGTTATTCTTTACTACTCCGGTATTTATACCTTTGATTATTTAGGAATTAGGAAACTGCAGGAAAACCTAATTCGGAGTAGTCGGCAGAATGCTTGAAACGGATCTAAGGAAATTCCCATCTCTGCCACAGATGAAAAATTCCTACCTTAGCCCAGGTTCGAACACCCGACGTTCGGTTCTGTAGCCCAACGCTCTATCTCTGAGCCACAAAGCCATATGTACCTTCCATAATTTATCTTGCATTGATTGTGACGTTATACTTTCGCCCTAATCCAAATTGTTGTTCTAGAAATATACACGTATGTGTTTTTAATCTTTTTAGGCACCTAAACAAGTTGTAAATCAGCATTGCATGATGAAAGCGCATTTTTGGTAATGCAGATCAGTACTTCATAAGCAAAGTTTAAAATTATCGATCTCACAAGGAATCTAACTCAAAATAGACTAGAGCCAAGACATCTACATTATAACAGAAAGCTAATTTAAAGTCTCTAGCAATTGCTGAGATCTCAGCCGGACAGCCAGCCATAACGGATATAATAGCGTATTTTTTCAAAAATGCGCTAAAAATATAATGCGCTTTATAAGCGTTTTTCCGTTCGATTGTGTGAGAGACACGATCTCGGCACTGGAATGTCATGGAAAGTTCGGTAATATCTAGTTCGATATAGGTACCTACCTATATGTCTCTCATGAGCGAAGCAAGACATGTTTTTCCCTAATCACTTCGGGACGATGCCCACATTTGGTCAAAATTTTCAATTATTCGCCAATTTCGTCCGGGAAACAGTAAAACACATTGACTTGATGCACAGTTACTAAATTTTGTAGTCTTCATGTAATATTCCATTTTAGTTTTAGTTTCTTAATTATCTGTATCCAAAGAGAGGATTCTTTGGGGCCAGGGTCGTAGCAAGCCTTTACGTCGATGAAGGACAGAGAAAATCTGTGAAAGGGTAAACTATGTTTCATCGAAAAGAATTGGCCTCTACAAAATATAACTTTCCTCCGCGACTCCTTTTAGAGATCAAAAAGTGAGTGCGGGGCAGTTAGAAATTGGTTTTATTCACGGTATTCTAATTAAATTGAAAGGAACTGTTTTCTACCAATCACAGTCCTGTTCTTCGACCTTTGATCAAAATCGGGAGGTTGGGGAGGGAAGTTGGATAGGTTTTGAATGTGTACCAGGCGGTCTTCGGGCCTTTAAATGTTTATGTACAAAGAGCTTCTCAAGAAGGTAAACAGCGATAAATATAGTACTACATTACAACTTTATATAACCCAATAATGTACTAAGCTATTTCAGTTTAAAAACATGGGCTTTATCTGCATAACAGTAGTGCACAATTTATAATTGCTTGATACAATGCGATCAAAAATGAGTTGCTGTCGACTCACCTTTGGAATTTTTGTTGACATGGGAAATCGTACTTAACTTGAACTTCCAAAGGCGACTCGACAGCAACTCATTTTTGATCGCCCGTTATTTCTTCAGCAGTTTTATGCGAACGCATTCAGTAATTACGGACCACACACTGCCCTTCCTCTTATTTTCGTTTGTCGGATAATTTCAGATGAGATTTTAGCGCATTTTTTAAGAATTAAAAAAATGTGCTATTGTTTGCGTTTTGTCCGTCCGTCCGGACCCACTTCTACCGTTTTGAACTACTTCTAGGGGGATGGTACGGGGTGGAGGGGGAGGGGGGGTGGAACTAGTTTTATCCTTCATGGATGCATCTAATGAAAGGTCTCAACGAAAGGAATAAATTTCTACCAACCATAGCTCTCCTCCTTGACCTCTTATCGTGATCGGGTATATTCCCTTATACCTCAAGAACGGATCGTCGGAAGAGGGTACTCACAAAGGGAGATTGAGACGTCTGCAGGAAATATATCCATTGGTGATGTCAAAACAAAAGCTATTTCGGTTAAAAAAATGCGCTTTATCTGCCCGGAGAGTTGTGCATAATTTATACTTGTTCATAAAATCGCCAGGCAGTGCAGAAAGCTTGCAGGGAGGGCATGGCTCTGTTGTACCGTGCGCTGGCTACGTTCGCCGACATACCCATTTCATTTGATTTGGTCACTTTTTTTAGGTAGGTACCTATTAATTTTTAGCGCATTTCCACAATTAAAAAAAATGCGCTATTGTGGCCACTTTGTCCGTCCGTCTGTCCGTCCGCTCGTTTCTAGACGCCACTAGTTCTTGATCGTAAGAGCTATTGTTCTACTTTTTTCGCTATTTGGTTCGTTATGGTGTCGAGGCTTGCACCAAGGAAGGAATTTTTTCTGTGCCGCTTACAAAAAAAGTTTTTGTAAAAAAAAAAAAACACCGTTTTTTACATGTTCCATAATTTTACACTTTTGCCGTTTATTAACGATCCTAGAGATCGTTTATAATTTTGTATTGCTGTCTGTTGGTCTGTCCGTCTGTTCCTTTGTCTGTCTGTCCGTGTGAACGAGAACTTTGTTTAGAAATGTCCGATCGCTTTGACATCTCCGTTAGTTATGAACTGAATTGCATGAAATTCAATATGGGCATAACTTTAGCCATATAATACGCAATGCCAAAAGTTGAGTCGAATCGATTCAAAATTTACAGTGCCCTTTTCGCATCTCGACCATTAGAAACCGAATTGCATAGAAGTATTTGAATGAAATTTGATACATAGGCATTTGGAATAAAGGAAAATCAAACGCCAGTTTCAAAATTTGGTTTTGCGCATGCGCAGTGCCAACTTTTTTATTTATGGAAGAATTTAAACGAAAATACATAGGCACTTGGAATAAAGGAAAATCAAACGCCATTTTCAAAATTTGGTTTTGCGCATGCGCAGTGCCAACTTTTTTATTTATGGAAGAATTTAAACGAAATTTGATACATACGCACATGGAATAAAGGAAAATCAAACGCCATTTTCAAAATTTGGTTTTGCGCATGCGCAGTGCCAACTTTTATTTATGGAAGAATTTAAACGAAATTTAATACATACCTATGCACTTGGAATAAAGGAAAATCAAAAGCTAGTTTCAAATTTTGGTTTTGCGCATGCGCAGTGCCAACTTTTTTATTTATGGAAGAATTTAAACGAAATTTGATGCATAGGCGCTTGGAACAAAGGAAAATCTAACGTTAGTTTCAAAATTTATATTTTCTTATTTAGAAAAGCATTGAAATGAAATTCTTCTTATAAACTGAAATTGAATTAGCACGTCAAAAATGGATTACACATTTGCAACGCTATCTTTCACATTTGTGGCCGGATTTTTACGATTTTAACAGAAGTTGCATCTTACGAATGGGAAATGAATGCAAGTGGAAATGCGCTTTTTGTAAATCGTTTACGATTACTTTTTAACTTGTTTTGATATGTGCGTTTCTCTAGCATCATTATTTTTCAATAATTGTAAATAGAAAACTATAGGAAAATGATCACTGTAAACATGACAGCTTCCTAGAGTCTCTTTTGAAAAAGTGTTTGTTTATTATCCTAGACAGTGTTGAAACAATAATAGCAAAAGAGATAAATAATTTTTATTATACAAATCATTTACATAATATAAGTTAAAACAATAAAATAATTCATAATAATTTAAGAGAATAGGTAAAGCTGTCAAAGCGGCGTAATAATTTATACAAATAATACAAGAAACAATTGGTATTTACATAATAATATATAATACTACATTCACTGGCCTTACACATTTGATTTGATGTGAAAATTTTAGGTATAGAGAATCCTCCATGGAATAAAATTATTAGCTATCTTGTAAAGTATTTCGGCATACCAGTGTATTCCGAGATGCTGAATACCTGACTTTGGCACATTAGTTACATTATTACCTAAGCCTTTACCGTCGGTCTGCCATGGCCTATTCATGAAGCCTTTTATTTCGGCAGTTAATCTAATGGGCGCAAATACAAAATGCGCTAATGAATGACTATCAACAACAGCGTAACAAGATACAATGATATCATTAACAACAATCGTACCAACACTTGTTAGAGGCGCATATATACCAGTTCGATACACTTGACTCACTTTTACGATTGTATCTTCAAATTTATTATCGTCTCTATTACCTACAATTAACTTACTACCGACCGTGAGAGTTTTTGCGAAGACTGTTATGGTAGATTTAAGCGATCCGGTCATCACTAAATGAGTGGGCGTAAGAGTTAAAGTTCGGCCCGATTGTAACTCCAAATTTAAAAAAAGATTACGTTGGTTCGGTTGCCAGTCTAAAAATAATATCACTTCACTAAAAATTAGTTGATTGGTGCGAGGGTCCATTGCCAAAACTGACTCTCCGACTTGTAGTTCCGACAGCGTCAAAATTTGACCCGACGACGATTGAATCTTATTCTCCCCGGCAAAACACCCTCCATATTTTGCCGCATCGGAAGATTCTGGAACATTATACAGAGAATGAGAATGAGTTTCACAATTTATTAAAAAAAAAAGTAGGTAGTTGTTAAGTAAGTTAAACATGCATTATTTAAGAGGAGACTTCTTTGTTGCGGGTACCTTAAGGCACGATGCTGCAGCACATTGTAATTTATATTAAATACTTATTGCCGTCGATGTTTTTGTTATAAATATAATATAATCATATGTGAAAAATGGCAAAGAACTACTGATAATAAAGCATCGGACACTGAAAAAAGTATCAGTAAATTGTACCTGATTTCACCGAACAATGAATATGTGCGCGGCTTTCATAATATACCCAGTCGAATCCAGCTTCAACAGCAAGCCTGGCCAACATTCCATATTTAGAACGATCACGATCAGAGGTAGTCACATCCACAGCACGGCCTTCATAATGCAAAGAATCTGATGCATGATGACCTTCCTCATCCCAACCTTCTGTAACACGAAGGCGTACTCCTGGCCACTGATTCATTACTGAAATGGCTAGGGTGTTGAGCTTTTCTTTACACCTCTGAAATATAATAATATTCCATTAGCTATTAGCATACACCGCCATTATAAATTTCTTCTACGTTAGCGCCGATTGAATAAATTGGTCTTTGAATTGGTTACATTTTATTGACGTAGCTTAATGACCAAATAGAATCAAAACCTTTAACTACCTATTTATATTTTTTTAAGGAATAGAGAACCTAATCAGAAGTGGAAGGATAATTACTCAGTAATCAATTTATGTGTGAATTAATTTCTTTTAGAATGTAGTAGGTAATACTTGTCTGTATAGGTATTCTAACTATACTAAACGCCTCAAATTCAGTAGGTAGGACCTATATGTATCTTCCTTGAATTAATGGCGTTATATTTTCCGATCATTTTTGATTAAATACATCATAGGTGAATAAGTTATAGATAAAACTATAAAAGCATAATTATTTATTTATCACTACGAGCACTGTCAAATAACTCTAATGCTTAGGTAATAAAGTAACAATTAATAAATACTTGTTTTCTTAGAATATCACACAAGGATATTAATTTTTATTCGATTGGTAGGTATACAAACACTATAATCAACGAATATTCCAATACTTTAACATTTTTAAAATTTGTTACAAAATTTGGAATGACATATGACCTACTAGGTTCTTAGGAGCGGTTCTGGTACCCTATATGTACAAAAGTAGTCTAGCCGCTTAGTACGTAGAGCACCTTGTAAAACGCACTTCCCATTCATTCGCTTCTTAGGAGAAGCCGCAATCGAGAATTTTACTCAGCATACATAAAACCGAAAAACTTTCTTCTTTAACCTAGGCTCTATCACAATTAATAACATTACTGTTGCAATCCCACTGGATCTGGGAACACCAAGGCTTGACCAAACTTATCAGAAACGTTTAACTACTCCAAGATAGTACGTGTACAGTTTCAATAAGAAAAACAAAAGATCTTTTTAATATGTTACCGCTCCCGGCTCCCCTACCTTGTTTTATATCTTTTGACAATTCAATTTGTTTTAAGATGAGAGCGACATCCGAAATAGGATCGTGCCAATGTTGAACGAAAAGAAAAATGTGTTCTTGCTATTTGGTAAGTTAAGAGGTGTGTACATATAGCGATTAATGTGTAAATGTAAATTAACTAATTCAGGGATGTACCCGTCTCTTAACAGATAGACAGGGTTTGCAAATTCGATGCGTTAACATTGTTGTATCTTTGTTCTATGTTCAATAATTTGTTAAAAGAAATTAAAAAAATGTTTACCCCGGAGATATCGGCAAAAATTTCTTTAAGGATTTATTATTGATTATTTGGAAAAAACAAGAGAACCCTCCTTATATTCTCTCTAAGAAAATCATTTTACTTTTCCGCTGCGAAGTTTGGGTGTTTAGATAAGTACCAACATCAGCTTTATTTTTCTAAATATGGAGTTTCATTTGTTTAAATTTTAGACTAGCCCTTAATTTGCCAAAACTAATGATGCACAACACTATTGTTAAAGGCACATTTGTTATTTTTCGAAATCAATGCCTACTCTTCAATTTTGAAGTCAAACGAGTTGTACTGACAAGGGATAGGAATGGTTATACATCTTTAGATGTGGGGGATCAAAAGCTACTCAAAAATGATAAAAAAAAGTCAGATCTGCTTTTAAAAAATAAAGTTGATAGTGTTACCTAAAAACCGAAACATCGCAAGGATATTAATTTAAGCGCGGAACTTTTGCATAAAATGTATAGAATTCATAGTGAATAAAAATGTTCTTATTCCTATAGAATTCTGTATCTGTAAAGGAACTAACAAAATAACGACTCAAGTACCTATATTATTGCCATTGCCATTGGTATTACTTATTTGTTTATATTGACAAGTAGGAAAGTGTTATCGTTTTAGTTTTAGATCAATGAACCGAATTGCATACACAAATGTAATCTATCTATTTACGAAGCGCATACCTAACGATTTCATTTGTTTAGTCTAATATATAGCAAGTTGTAATCTAAACCGCACGATTGTTGATAATCTAATTATCGATTAATAGGAATAAACCATGAATCATAACTCCAGGAAATTGCACTTAGGACGGTAAATAACCAATAAGTACCGTTGCTTACTCACATAATAAAAAAAAGTAGGCAATGCGCAATTTATTTCCGAAAATGTAGTGAATAGTGAAACATTACCCACCTACTTACTTTTTCTTCAACTTTTGGGTATAAGCTTTGCAATTTACAGGCACAACTGCGATAAGATGTATTTCTCATATAGGTACCACCGGGCATGGGTACCACTTACTTAAAAATAAACGACAAATCAAACAAAAAATTACAAAAGTCCTCGTATGTGCATCGATGAGACTTCAGCGCATTTTTGGCGTGACGGATCAGTATTGCATTAGCAATCAGTATTTTATCAGAAAATTTTAATTATAAAATAAGGTTTATGCAAACATATATTTCTTTATTAATTTTCACGAACTCTAATAATAATTGGACGATGGTATGAACAGTACGACTCGTAAACCGAACAATCAACAGTGTAGTTGACCATTTTGCCAAAAACTCCGTCAATTATTGTTCCGCCATTCGTTGTCACTGTTCGGGGAGAGATGATCACTATATTGAATTTCTCTTGAAGAAATTTCTCTACCCGATTTCCGACAGTTAATGGGAAATTAAAGTCTCCCATAATCAAGACGTCTTCAGTTGCCTCAATGAAATCCCCGATCTCCGATAACGCTGCAATCAACAAGTTGTTGCCTTTACTAGGAGCATCAGTGGTTCAAATTTCAAAGAAATATCTCCATAAATAAGAAAGTTGGCATTGCGCAGTCACTGCGCATGTCTACACATAATTTTTACTATTTGCGAAATGTTTGCCTTTACTAGAAGCATCTGTGGTTCCAATTTCAAAGAAATATCTCCATAAATAGGAAAGTTGGCATTGCGCAGGGACTGCGCATGCGCACACATAATTTTTAGTATGTGCGCAATGTTTGCCTTTACTAGAAGCATCTGTGGTTAAAATTTCAAAGAAAAATCTCTGTAAATAGGAAAGTTCGCATTGCGCAGTCACTGCGCATGTCTACATAATTTTTACTATGTGTGAAATGTTTGCCTTTACTAGAAGCATCTGTGGTTAAAATTTCAAAGAAATATCTCCATAAATAAGAAAGTTGGCATTGCGCAGTCACTGCGCATGCCTACACATAATTTTTACTATTTGCGAAATGTTTGCCTTTACTAGAAGCATCTGTGGTTCAAATTTCAAAGAAATATCTCCATAAATAGGAAAGTTGGCATTGCGCAGATCCGCACACATAATTTTTAGTATGTGCGCAATGTTTGCCTTTACTAGAAGCATGTGTGGTTAAAATTTCAAAGAAAAATCTCAGTAAATAGGAAAGTTCGCATTGCGCAGTCACTGCGCATGTCTACATAATTTTTACTATGTGTGAAATGTTTGCCTTTACTAGAAGCATCTGTGGTTAAAATTTCAAAGAAATATCTCCATAAATAAGAAAGTTGACATTGCGCAGTCACTGCGCATGCCTACACATAATTTTTACTATTTGCGAAATGTTTGCCTTTACTAGAAGCATCTGTGGTTCCAATTTCAAAGAAATATCTCCATAAATAGCAAAGTTGGCATTGCGCAGGGACTGCGCATGCGCACACATAATTTTTAGTATGTGCGCAATGTTTGCCCTTACTAGAAGCATCTGTGGTTAAAATTTCAAAGAAAAATCTCAATAAATAGGAAAGTTCGCATTGCGCAGTCACTGCGCATGTCTACATAATTTTTACTATGTGTGAAATGTTTGCCTTTACTAGAAGCATCTGTGGTTAAAATTTCAAAGAAATATCTCCATAAATAAGAAAGTTGGCAATGCGCAGTCTGCGCAAAATAGAGAGTGCAATAAAACTGTCTGAAATGGGCAAATATAGACCATAGCAGCTATCAATTAGCGAAAACCCGAAGTCTCTAGGTGTCCCAGGGGCCGAGATCTCGATGGACGGACGGACGGGCGGACGGACAGACGGAAACACGAGCACATAAGCGTTACCTCAACTTCGTTGTGTTACGCTAAAAACCGCTCAGACCTGGATACGATATTTTTAACCAAAATTATACCACAAACTGTAAAACTCATCACCGTGTTATGATTTTGATTAGTTTTCACCTTGAAGTAGTTATCCTAGATAAGTCATATTAGTGACCGTAGTTAGGCAATGCCAAAAGTATATTTTATAAAAAAGCCATTCCTCTACGTCAATCGGATCGGCTTAAAATCGATATACGCACGGACAAGTTTTCAAGCGGCGTTAGTTATTTCGCAAATTCTAATTAAACGCAACCACTACGGGCTTAATGAATGTCCATTGCGCCAATAACTCGACAAGACGGAGATAATGCAAAAAACCGGACCTCTCTACGATGTCTAGATCAAAAGTTTTTCAATCCGCCCAGCCAGCCAGCCAGCCAACCAGCCAGCCAGCCGGACAAAGTGAAATGATAAGCTCCTTTTTGTTACCAAAAATGCGCTAGACATTTAGTCTAGGCGATAAAGACATCTAACTTGACATTTTTAGGTGGAAAAGAAAAAAATGGTGGAATATGTTCAGTTAGGTGTCAGAAACAGAAAAATCCCCCCCCCCCAGACCCTGTGCTAAAGGCTCCAGCCACCCCACCACTCCCCAAAAACCGTGTTTTCGCTCTTCTGGCTGATATCTCGCGATCTATGAGGTCTATATCAAATAGTTTTAGCTGAAAATAATTCTCGTGAAATTTCATACTCAGAAGTTAGCCTAGGGGTACCTCATAGCCTAGGAAATTCATAAAAGAGGCGAAAATCATCAATTTTCGTGGGTTCCATGACACTGGACGCAGAATTCGTTCTTCAGACCTACAACAAGAAGCTTATGTCAAAAAAAAATTTATAATTAAGTATACGAATGTAATATTCCCTCGTGTGTCCTAACTCCTAAGTGTCCGGTGGAGAAGGTTTACCTGATTTTCTG